AATCTGGGATCCTCTGCTGGAAGCCCTGGAGCACAGACTGTAGTACTCGTAGCAGGGACAAGTGCTTGATGCACAGAATGGCCACGCCAAGTCACAAGGTCCTGGGGGGGATGCAGTCCTCTTTCTCTTTCCACTCTGAGCTCTTCAGCTTTACTAGCTCTGGGAAGGTCTGGAGAGCAAGGACAACAGAAATGGGTGATAATTTCCTATTGAGTGAAGAATAAGAGATGCTTCAGGCTTCAGATGCCATCTTGGTTATGAGAAAGGGTGAACTTGCTCCTCACAGGCCTAAATTCGTTACAACCACAGCACCCTAAGTCATCATTTGTCACCACCTGCTTTGCCTCAGGTAGCAATGCAACAGGGTGACTAACCAAGCACTTAACTGTGAGTGCCCACCCCAGACCTCCTGGCTTAGAAACCTTGGCTGAGTCAGCTCCACCTGTAGGACCTCAGCAGACCGCAGCGTGTGGAAGTGAGGAAGGTAGAGCTCCAGAGGAAAAGCTACGATGCATCAGGATAGCAGAGTAAACAGCTCTGATGTGTGTTGCACAACGCTGAGGAAAAATGATACAGAAACTCACCTCGTTCGGTAATAAGCGGCTGACTGAAAGGCCCTCCATGTTTGGATGTGATTTTCCCATAGACATGTTTTTACAGCTGCGGTTAATGTGTGACTAATCCTCACTGTGGAGTAACCACACAACCACTCCTTGGAGCACACAGCGCTGTGCCTCATCAGTAGGGCTTTTGCTTGAAAGGAGAAATGGTGACATCTGAAAAGACTATTTAAAGCCAACAACGCTTTTGAACAGAGCTCTAATCGTTTGCACCAGGCTCCAGAAACTCTCAGCTAGGTTTAGGTATGTAGCGAAGCAACAACAAAACAACAACAAACACATAATAAATAAATATAAACACCTCTCAAGAGCAATAAACAGCTCAAAGGCTTCTGGTGTTGGGCAGCTGCTATCAAACATTAACAGCAGTATTTCAGCAGGAAGAGCAGACTCAGTCAATATTTCCAAGAGCATATGCAAATTCTCTTTCCTTCCAGTATCATATTAACAGCAATAGCAATAGAACCACACTTTCAGCCCCCCCAAAATGCATGTACCATAGCCACAAACCCTCCATACTTCTCCTGTGCCATGCTGAGAGCAATAAACCTCCAAAGAGACCTTGACCCATTCCTCTGGGTCACGGCGATTTAACTCTCAACTGCTATTTTAAGTTATTCCTATAATGAACTTCAGGCCTGGCTGCACTGAATGGAGAAGGACTGGTTCCTCCACCAGCAGGGCTGCGTGCAGCATGCCCAGTCCTGCTTGCTTCGTGTGACAGCCCCTGAAGGACTGGCCAAACCCTGCTCTCCATTCAGAAGCTGCATTTCTCAGCTGTATTTTTCCCCAGTCTTTGTCCCCCATCCTTGAGCTCCAAGCTCTGCATGCAGAAAGGATCTGGCTGGCTCCTGCTCGTCCCCTCCAGAGGAAAGGCAGATGGGACTGGCTTTGGTGGATTTCTTGAGGTTTGGTGGTGCATACAATTTAGGAATAGTTTATGCGTACCACAGTTTGAAGACCTTAGGACTGATGGCACATCTTAAGCACAGAGCTGTCCCCACTCGGGTTTCTGGGGTCAGAAATGCTTCGATGCTCAGCCCAGAAGGAGTTCGTGTTGAGGCCCTTTCTACCCAACAAAGTTAGAGAGCTTAGTTAAACTGCAGCAACAGCTGTGATGAGATCAAGCCAATTATCCGAGTGTTAACCTTTATTTTTAAATCTTACCTGCATATTCTTTGCTTTACACCATTTACAAATAATGCAATTCTAAAAGCATTGCATGTTTTCTGTTTTAAGATCAGCAGTTGCAGTTCCTCATTTCTAGTTTGCACATGTGCAAATATATGAGCGTATGTGCATACATGTATGTGTGCTTACACACACAAAGCAGAGTGCATTATTCCTGATTTCAGTGCTTTCCTTGTTTCTTCTCAGCATGAATTAATCCTTGAGCATATACAGAAGGTCAGTGAAAAGCTTACTAGTGCTTTGTACAATGTCACCCATCATGATGGGTTGGCCGCTTCCAACCCAAGCCATTCTGTGATATCCATGATGGTGAAAATTCCCTGTATTTACTGGAAATGCCTTTGCCAGTACATCCTGCTTGTCTCTTTCTTCCTTTTTTTATGTGCATCACACAGATAATTATTCTAAAACCAGCTAATTGACAGTGCCCTTTCTTTCCCTCTCTTATTCCCAGCCCAGTGCAGAATTTCCTCTTGCTGGACTCCCTTGTCCCACTGAAGTTGATCCTATTTGTTACTTATCAGAACATTCAAGTACTCTTAGTAGCCCAAGTTATCGAAGCCCCCAGATTCCCAGCAGTGAGTATAATCCCATGTACTCCTTTCCTTTCCAGCTTAATAAAAACGTTTCAAGAAAAGCCCCCAGAATGAGGTTTCCTCTCTCTGCTAACTCCTCCACAGCCCACTCCTCACACTTTCCAGTTCTGCCATTAATCCCTGCTTCAGCCTTCTGACTATTCATTTTCTGCTTGACACTGATAATTGCTTTCCTGAAGGCCAATTTCATTGGATTGCCTGCAACTGGAAAAAAAAAAAAAAAAAAAGCTATCAAACAGCAAGAGATCTGATTAGCCTGGTTTCATCTACTTTCGGTGAATCTGTTTTATATTTTATCCCATGTGTCAGCACCCTATCTTTTAATTTTAATACAATCAAGGCCAGACCTTTGATTTCCTTAGCAGACACTGGACTTCATATTCTGCAGTAAAATTGCTGTCCTCTGCTTTGACAAGCTTATGAAAAATGCTGTCCATCTGGCTTCCAGTTTCTTGAGCTGAACACCACCCCAGACAGCCACTATTGGTTAGCAATACCCAAGCAACTATTTGGGTTACAGCACCTTTCTTTCATCTCTTGCCATACTTAAACTATTTTCTTTTGCCACTACCTCAAGTGGAGCAACTTTCACACTGCACTTTTATTCCACTACTTGTTTTCAGCATTATACTTTACATCTTAGTCATGATGGGGTCTCAGATAAGGCATTTATACAGATCACAGATCACACCTAAAATAGTTTTTCTTCTCAATATGTCCACAGAGTGGATCTTTTTTTTTGGGGAGGAGTCCCTGATTTTCTATTTCAATTACAAGATTATACAGCCTCTTAGATTTGCTTTAGTTTCCTTGAAAGGGCCTAATGCAACCTGACAAAGTGAGAACTGTGAGAAGTCCTTCTGCTCTCATCATTTGCCTGCCTTGACACTCGGCGCGTTTACACCCTCCTGCTCATTTTTCCAGAACAAAGAAGGGGTCAGATTTTCTGCCAGCCACATCCTTTGCATCTCACTTGTGAACAAGATCAAATGTGATAATTGCTCCAGTATGGATGAAAAGGAGTCAGGAAGCACAGTGAATAGGAACATGACTCAGGAAAACCCAGGCTACCCTGTGCCAGAGCACAGAGGCTGTCTCTCCTTATTCTCTCTTTACACAACAAGATTTCCTTCAAGTGTTCTCTGAGGATCAAACAGTTTCATTTGTAACGGTTGGGCACAGAATTCTTCCCCCTTTTCCTGACCATTTTTTCCCCTCCTTGCCACACTAACTTCCCATATGATCGCTGACGGAGGAAGTGGAAAGAGAGGTCTTGGGAATCCCCGAAGAAGGGAACCATTCTGTTAAGATATTTACCCAATACAGGAAACTGCACTGCTCCCAAAGTAGTTTTACTCAGTTTAAGAGCCTGGTGAAGTTGGCATGCAGCTAGAAAGTGCATTATGGTTCTCTTTTGCTATGGAAGCAAGAATACAGTTCTGAACACAGTCCCACCATCCTTCGTCCTCATCTCAAAGCCTACCAACTACCAACAGTCCTCCTGACACCTTCTGTTGTGAAATGAACAGCCAAAATGGCTCCTGCGCAAGCAAAGAGAGATTATAAATTAAAAATACAGTGGCTAGCTACAAAACAAAAGTTTCTTACACATCAGAGCACTGACAATGAAAGGTATTGCAAGGTATTCCAACTGATGGCCCAGCATAGCTCATAATGCAAGGTCAAATATCTCACTTGTTTCATGTTTTTGTTGCTCTCTTTTATATTTTAGTAAATATGCATACATTAAAAAGTTTTGTTACTTATATGTGTTAACATTATTACATATTTTATATGCAACCCAAGACAATTCCTGTTCACTCAATGCAGCCCAGGCAAGCCAAAAGCTTGGACAGCCACAGCACAGGCGCAGACCTACCCAGACAAGCAGGGGAACTTTTGACTTCTCCATTTCATGAAGGACATTTTTCTCTACTTCACTGCTCCTTCATCTCCTCCAACGCCCAGCTGCTGCACCCAGGAGCAATTGATCCTAAACTAAATACCTAGGCCTGCTCTGTTCTCCCTTCCTGAAGGTATGATCTCCAAATTTGTCCTGCAAAGTACGTTTTAGTGGAACCATAAATGATAGAGTGGTTTGGGTTGAAAAGGATCTTTAAGATCGTCCAGTTCCAAACTCTGCTATATGCAGGGGCACCTCCCTGTAGACCAGGTTGCTCACAGCCCCATCCAGCCTGGCCTGGAATGCTTCCACAGAAGGAAGGAGTTTGTATTGCCCATACTGGAGTCTTCCCTGCTCTCAAAATCCTAGAGGCAGAAGCCAGGTCATAAGAGCAAGCCTTGTGGAAGACTTGTAGCCTCTTCCACCCCGTCAGGAAAGCACAGTATGATCTGCTTTCACACTGGTCTCTGCTCCAGCCTATCTGTGTGTGCACAGTGAAGCGGCTTGCCACCAACCTGGCATCCAGAGCAGGGGAGAGCCTTCCCCATTCCGAGCTGAATCTCCTTATGTTCAGCACCACACCTCACATTTCGTACTTAGAATTCAAATTCCTTAAAGGCATGGAAAGTCTCACAAACCTCATCTACTTTGTGAAGCACAATACGGAGCAACACTCACAAGCTGGACACATTCTTGCCAAAATGCCATTTATTGCAGTATACCTTTACACGGCATACAGATATCCGAATGTTGCATCTTCTGTTAGAACTTGTATTTCATTTGTACCACTTAAATAACACAGAATGTCGTGTTTGTTTCACAAACTGTCAGTTTAGACTACCAAAATATACAGTTTTTCCTTTCCCTCAGCAAGGTTCTGAGGTACAACTGAAGTTTACCATTTCATCTTCCTGTGCTTTACAAGAATCTTTTCATAGATAAACCTATCAAACAACATTTCTACATTCCTATACAAAGCAAAGAATTACAGCTGAAATTAACACCGTCTGGTTGTTGCATTAACCTATAAAAAAAAAATCATTCAGTTAAAAAAAAAAAAAAAGACATAATGGACTTTGCAGCTTTACTTAAAAACAGCCAGCTACATGTATGCACAAGGGTTTCTTAGGCATCAAGAAGAGTTTTGAATCAAAAAGTGTTTTTTCTTGGGCTTGTAGAGAAGGCACTGATTTTAGCTGCATAGCAGCTCAGGAGTGTTTTATACTTCATTTAATTGTACAGGTTTTCGAGTTTTAGTGTTAATGTGCAACATTTCTACCAGCTGTCGCAATGCTCTCCAGTATTCTCCAATCATTCCCTCTGGCTCACCAGCACAAAAACGTACATCAGCTGTAAATGCTCCTCCACCCCCCATGCCTTCTGTGCTGAGTGATGTCCAACTGACCTTGCGAGGAGCTAGGCGAAGGCAGAGCAGAAGTAAGGCTTGTGCAGAACACCACACTTCTCTTCCTGCTCGGTTTGAGATGCTCTGGAGAACTCCAAACCCTCAGTGAGGCTTCGGTGCCTTCCATGTGGCAATGAATGGACCACCAAGAGCGTCAGGCATCCAGACTTCCCTCAGGAGGTGCTTCTTAACCCTTGCTAGTCTGACATCCCAAGGGTTGCTTCTCTGCAAAGTGCAGGAACAGCCCCTGAAGAGAGGCATTCCAGAGTCACGAGAGTCAAGCACATCAACTTGTATATATTTAAGGTCATCTACACTAAGCCTTCATCAGGCTTGTGTCAGATGCTGTGTTTCTCTACTCCTTAGCTGCAAAATTACAATATGCTGCTTTCTACCTTTCACCCCCTGTGCCAAGGTTTTCTGTACTGTAGGAGGCAGGCCACGATCTGAGACTACTCTGTAAGCAGTGCACAGTGGTAGGTGCTACAACGTGCCATCAGTCATCTGGCAACTACACAGCACAGGTTGGAGTATTTGCAGCAGGGCAGCCAAGAAGACTCAGCACTGAAGAAGAGGGAATATCTGAGATGAGATTGCTTAGAAAAATCCATTTCTTACCAAAGCCTAGAATGGGCAAGATGGTGATGAGACAGACCAATGCAACTGGTAAAATGAAATCTCTACTTAGTTTTTGGGTCTTTAGGTTGGTTTGGTTTTAGTATATGTGCCAGCTGCATAGGAGCTGGTTCAGCATATGGGATAACATTGCGATCTTTCCCAAATATAAGTTATTCTAAACCACTAAGTCATTTGCTTACCCCTCCCCTCACACCTCCTTTCACTAGCAATCATGTTCAGCATGATGTTTCATAGGCATTAAATGCTCCAAGTACGGCAGCTAGAAAGAGCTAGAGTATTGCAGTGTACCAAACTTCTGCCCAGTGCAGCCATTTGTTACACTTAAAAACACATCTATGAGTTAAATAGGAAGGATCCCTGCAATAGAGAATTTGAGCACTGTTAATCATTTATTCTTGCCATCCCTTTCCCTAAATATCAAACGGTTCATACATACAGTGCTCCTTTATCTTCTCCCCATCGCCTGCCCAAGCAGTCTTTAAGATAAACCAAAGCGAGTTTAGGAACTTGCAGTCCCACTTCTGTTTAAAAAAAAAAAAGTTGTGCAAGAAAGCAGGGAACGTTCAGTGAATCCAGATCTACTTTGTAGTTATAAAATTTCCAACGGCAAGGTGGTAAGGGCAAATAACCCAATGATCATATGGCTTAAGTTCAATGCAAAGCGCACTAAGAGGTCCATGTGCAGGGAGAGAAGAGTCCAAGAAAGATGTAACGAAGTGTCCTGAAGAGCAGTGTTTATGCATAGAACTCTTCTTGTTTGTGTGGTTTTTGGTATCCTCCGTTAGACTGTTTCGGTTCATCCAGTGAATAGCTTCCTTCGTCTTTTTTCTTCATTCTGTACAGCATAAATGCAACTAGAAACACTGCGAACACCAAGCCAACCAGTCCTCCAGCAATAACACCTAGAAGGGGGGAAAGACACAGATTACTCCAGACGCCATGCCAGCTAACACTGCTATGATTGTGTGCTTCCAGGCTGTTCCTTAAAGCGTGGTCCCTGAATTCATTACATGCAAATATGAATTTGTCCTTTTGCCCTGCCAAAACAGTCACTCCTCCATTGCCAAGAGCCCACTCATCTACATGAGGTAAATAATAGAATCATACAGTGGGTTGGAAGGGACCTTAAGATCATGCAGTTCCAATCTCCTGCTGTAGGCAGGGACACCTTCCTTCAGACCAGGTTGCTCACAACCCCATCCAGGCTGGCCTGGAATGCTTCCAGGGAGAGGGCATTCACAACCACACCAGGCAACCTCTACCAATGTCTCACCACCCTCATCTACAAATCCACTAAAGAAGATCTCCCACTGGGCCATGCTGCAGAGCACCAAGAACAGAGCCAGACAGCGTGTGGAACTCTAGAAAATGGACCCAAGCAGCATTAGGGCAGTTCTACAGTAATTTTTGAGTGAAGGAACTTAGAATTTCAGATAACTAGTGGTGACTGCTTTGCTATTATCAGATTAATACGTTGTCCCCATCAGGGTTTTCAGCAACACACAATCATGAACCACCCTCATTTCAGAGAGGTCTAGCATAAAAGCTTCACTCTCATGCTCTGAGACATACTTGTAGAGCTGCAGCTTCTGCTGCCTGGGAGGCTCCTATGAGAGCCAACTAGAAATCCAGAATATCAGGTACCTCCAAGAACTTCTTTTCTGTCCATAATTCCCGAGGCTCCCGCTGCTTTGGCATTCCTCCCAGAGTCAGCCGGCACTTCAGAATCCTGGGTAGGGAACAAGTCCTCATCTTTAATCAAGATGAAGTCTCCCTGTTGGGATGCACAAAGCAGGTTATTCATGTTTTTCATCACGTCTATTTCTATAGCTACGTTTTTTTTCTTCTCTAAACCCCCCTACCAATATAAAGGATAAAACTGATCATTTGCTTGCACAAATTATCAGCCCTTCCTGCAAACCAGCCTTACTACATACAACCAGAGCAATCTGCCTGGAAAGGGTACCAAAGCTACCAGTCCTCACCGGGTCTCCTGAGCCAACTTCAGAAACCTCCTCATGTGTAGGAGCAAGGTCGCCTGGAGCTGTTGTGGGAGCAGCAGCGATGTCCCCCTCCGGATGGGTGGTAGAGTTGGTCTCAGGCACATCTTTAGTGCCTGGCATCTCAGAGCCAGGGGTTTTAGGTTTGAGCTCACGGACTGTGCCTGAGGCTTCTGAAGGAGTTACATGAAGCACCGAAGGGAAGCGAGTAGTAGGACTTCTTGCTGTTGTTACAACTGTGTTGTCTGTGGGCTTCTCATCAGGTGAGCCCAACAAGGGTGTTTCATCCTTCACAGCTACAACTGGCTCCTCTGTCACTACACGACTAGTTGCAGGTGGAGTTGTTACTTTCTTTTCAGTTCGGCTCTCAATCCCAGGAAACAGCTTTTCATTGAAAACCCCTGGTGTTGCCAGTAATGAGGAATTAGTCGGATCTGTTGCTGTTCTCCAAGTGAGAGACTGATCAGGTAGGGGACCTGCAAAACAAAAAATATCCCCAGACAGCTTAGAGACCTGTTGATGGTAACTGCAGGATGCTGGTCTAAAGGAGGAAGCTCAACCTGCACAGCCAATTTCTGTAGTAACAGGAATTCACTTTTCTAACTCCTCTTTTTCAGCATACTAAGAAAGGCACAGATCAATTTCATATAAAATACAAGCACGTAGCTGGAGGGAAGAAGAAGGATACCATGGTTTAGTTTCCAATAGCTTGCTTTTTCCTCACTGGCATCTCCTCAACTTCAATCCAACACTGAATGTCAAAAGGTGCCTCTCATGCCTTTAAGTAATCATTCTGACAGACTTTTTCCCCACCCTAAAAACCTTTTATAATGTTTAAAAAAAAAAAAACAAAAACAATACTACGGCCCATAGGAAATTGCTTATCTGATGATAAAGTATGTGCTGGATGTATGCTGGCAAGTAGGTTCACACACCCTCAAACGGCATCTCCTTCCAGCTCGTAAGAGAGGCCAAACACCCTTCTTATAGTCTCCTGCCTCACAAGTGAAGAATCACTGCAGTTTCATACTTCTGCAAGCAATGTATGAGCAGGGACATAAGGTATACCTGCTTCTGCTCCATTTCAATACTCCTACAATTCATTTTCTCCTAATTGTTTGTCTCTGGAGCAAAACAAGACAAACAGGTCAGGCTCCTTTTCTGTTCCAAAGCCAATATGCTGGGATATGTGTGATTATTCTTCCCCCCAGCCTCCTTTTAGCCAGGATGTTCACGATGTTCATTCAGACCTTGGCTCACTGGAAGGATGAAAAAACTAACAGTGCAAATGCAAGTTACTCACCTGCACCTGAACCTGAGAATCCATCATCGTCGTCACCGGAAGAATCAAGATCTTCAGGAGGAAGGTTCAGATTTGTAGTTTGCTTTAAAGAGAAGGGGAAAAGATGTTGGTGATGCAATTGCTTAAACTAACCGTGCTATTTGTGTGAAGTCCTCTTAGGGCTCCTGAAGATCGCACAAACTTTCTCTGCTCAGACTACATTTTCTTATCATTCTTCACTCCTCCTGCCCCAGAAAAGCAGTTTGTCAGTCTTGCTGTCTCCCTTCTCTGTCCTGCGTACAGGCAGCACTTACTTTGGGAAAGTAGAAAGCAAGGAATACGTTCAGAAAGCTTCATCTTGGCAGCAGCCAATGCTCAGTCCATACACAACATAACCGTGCTGCTTTAAGTTCCGGCTCCTCACATCTTTGCTGTCTACCAACCTGTTCAACTGGTGATTTCCTGCATCACTTTTAAGGGAAGGAAAGGAAGGGGAAACAGAGTGCTTTGGTTTCTCTGTCTTTCTGAGCCCTTCCAATGCTGTTGTGCTATCTGAAGCCAAAGCATTTAATGAAGTGGAATGAGATTTGCTTTTAAAAAGCATGGACACTCATATCAAGTTCTGAGATAGAAGCCAGTCTTACCTGTAGGAGAATACAGCCCTGAGCTCTCTCCCTGCGTTGTACAAGGAGCACAATAACCAGCAGCCAAACTTAGTGCCAAAGGAAGAGGCCAAACCCCTGCTTTGTTCCACCACTGGAATTACCACAACCTAACCAGTCATTGCTTCTGAATTTCATCTTTCCTCATTTAACTACATTTCCAGAATCTTCACACACAAACACACGCCCTATTTCAGAATAGATGAGGTGAGAAGGGATCTCTGGGTGGCCCAACCTCTGCTCAGGCAAGGAGCATGAAATCTATGCCTGTGCTGTCACCCTCAGGGTAAGGAATTTTCCCCTATGCTCAGACAGGAACTTCTGTGTTCCAGTTAGTGCCCTGTGCCTCCTATCTTGTCACTGGGCACCAGTGAAAAGAATCTGACCCTTCCTCTCAAAAAGCCCTCACCATCCATTTCCAGCCCTGCCCAGTCTTCAAGTCCAGCAGATACTGCACCATCTAACCAAGGTCTGTCTCCCATTTTGGCTTTAGTGGGACCATGAAATCTGAGTTCATTTACACAAAAGCAGGAGCAGGTATCCTTAATGGCCTTGCACCAGGCCCACTGTAACTCCTGTATGCATCAACACAGTGTTGTTTAGAAACAAGGCTTGTTTCCATTCTAGGAAGAAGTCATCCAGCAGCGGAATGATGTCACACAAAGCAACTGAATTTCCTCATTGTCAACTTTGTTACTTACATGGCTGTATTTATTCACTCCATTTCTTTTTAATGTATTGGGTTTGTACAGTTTTCTTTCCCTTCCTTTCTGTTGTACCCATTCCAGATGCTTCTATAGAACAATTCATTCCCAAGGTGGTTAACTAGCCCATTAGTAAAAGGCTTGACGTCTCAGAACACAAATAAGCAGGCAGCCTGTCAACAACTTATTCACATCCATGACCTCACCTCTTCAAAGCAATCACTACTGTTAGATAATTTAAGGACAAAAAATAAAAGAACAAGAACACACACATTGAGCCTTTTTAGCATCCTTCTTCGGTTGCCACTTCACTATTGGTAAAAAATACATGTTTTCTTCAGGCTTCTAGCATACTTCTAGAACAACTTCTAAGTCGTCTTTCAATCTTTTGTTCAGCTGCACATCATGGGCTGATCTGGATTTTCAGATCTGCCCCTGCTTGTCTGCTCTGTGCTTATGCACTCATCCATGGAAACCAGGTCAGAGAAGTACTTCCTGTATGCTTTCCTGCTCCGTCCAAGGCCAGTGACTCACCCGAGCTGATCTCACTGCACTTCAAGTATTGAGTATGAACTACTGGTGCTGAAAGAACATGGAAAGACTCCCAGGCTTCCCAAATTCCACTCCCTTGATCTTTCTTCCTTTTCGCTAAGTTCAGAAGCCAAGTCAGGCTTCATAAACAACACCACTGGGGCGGACTGGGGGACTGAGAGCATTTTTCTCCAACTCTAGTTCCATCAACACCAGAAATCACAATCCTTGTTCTGTCAGCCAGCTTGGCTTTGGGTGCAAAAGGGGGATACAATTCTCTCCAAGGTTTTAGCTGAAGAATGTGACTACCAAGACAGACTAAGATCTGACACCACAGTCTTTATCTAGGATCAGCATTAACTTCCCTCCAAATCTGAACCTTCAGAGGTAGCTTATACAAGATTTCTAAGAAACCTCAGGAGACATTACAGAACCACTTGCATGTTTTACCAGTAGGAATGCCCGCAAAGTGATGTAATTCACGACACCATCCAATTTCATGACACAAACATCAAGGCAAATCTATGTAACTGTTTACTTATATAGACTACTCTTCTTACTCCATGAATTGTAGCTTCAGTAGGTGTGAAAAGCAATGTCCTTCTGACACCACAGAATTTAAGCACTGCAGGAAGGTCATGCTTCTGTAATGATTTGCTGTTGCTGAAGAACTTCAGACATAAGGCTAACGTAAGACTGTGACTCAAAGCAGCACTGGAAGAGATGGAACTAATCCAGGTTTGGATTAAAAATAGAAGAGGCACCGTGCTGTTCAGACAAACACACTCCTCATGGTCAACGCTCATCTGTGACCTTTCACTGCAAATGACTTTCACCAAGGGGAGAGGTCTGGGTCAGTCAAGAGGATGAGGAGTGAAGAACAGATAGAACTGCCAGGCTGTGTTATAGAAGTTGTTATAGAAGTGCTGGAAAGAAATCAAAGCTTCGCTCTGCTGAAAACTCTGCATCGCACCAGCTACTGTGTGTATTGCAGGTGTGCTTTTAGAAATCACTTCCATCATCATCCAGCTGAATTTTCAGACCCCTGGAATTACTCGCAGACCATTCACATTATGCAAGAGCTGCTCTGAAAGTAATGCTTGCTATTTCATTATGTTGGCCCATGAGGTCAGAGGTGGATGTCAGTGGCATGGCAGCAGAGATCCAACCTTCCCACCAATACATCCCCATTACATGTTATTGCCATGTGACAGACAGCAGTCTGACATGGAAGTGTGGATGAAGCAAAGGTGAGCAAATGAATTCCTTCAGGCAGAAAAAAAAAGTTCAGCAGACATCAATGAATGTCAGTGCATGCCATTTCTGGAGATCAAAGAGTGGTGTGAGCACAGTGAGGCAGTGGGTGCTGCTTTCCAGTAGTGGCAACAACGTTAAAGATAAGCCACGCTCCAGGCAGCCATGCAGATTTCTACAAGTGTGGCATACATGCTCTTGTACATCGCTAACAAAAATGCACAGCTTATGGTGGTGACTATGTTGAAAAATAGTGCTTTGTAGCTGAGAATTTCCTCTATCCACCAGCGTCACTGCACTCTTTGTATCTGTTGTATTTTCCACAGAAATAAAGAAAAGGCATGACTTCTGGAGTAGCCTACATAACTGATAAGAGACTGGATGAACACAGTTAAGTACAGCTGTGGATCCTTTAAGGACAGAGCTCTGATGGCACTTCTTGTATTCTAGCCGAAGATTTGGTGATTTTGCTATTGCACTTACAATGTTTTTTACTTGAAGAAAATGGATAGAATCATAGAATCATTAAGGTCCGAGATGAAGAAAATCATCTCATCCAACTATCAACCCCATGATTCAAATGCTTTTTTTTTTTATTATTTTTAATGCATCTCATACAACTGACCAGAAATACTTGCCGAGCACAGCAAAACCCTTTGTGATTTGGTGTCACTGATCTCACAGAATCACAGGGTTGGAAGGGACCTCAAGGATCACGAATCTCCAACCCCCTGCCACATGCAGGGCCACCAACCTCCCCATTTAATACCAGACCAGGCTGCCCAGGGCCCCATCCAACCTGGCCTTGAACACCTCCAGGGATGGACGGGGCATCCACAGCCTTTCCAGGCAGCTTTTCCAGCACCTCACCACTCTCCCTGTAAAGAACTTCTCCCTGACATCCAACCTAAATCTTCCCTCCCTCAACTTAAAACCATTTCCCCTTGTCCTGCCATTATCAACCCTTTCAAAGAGCTGATTCCCCTCCTGTTTGTTTATGGGCTCCCTTCAGGTATTGATAGGCTGCAATGAGGTCACCCCGCAGCCTTCTTTTCTCCAGGCTGAACAAGCCCAGCTCCCTTAGTCTGTGCTCATAGGGGAGGTGCTCCAGTCCCCTGATCATCTCTGTGGCTCTCCTCTGGACCCTCTCCAACAGCTCCCTGTCTTTCTTGTACTGGGGGCTCCAGACCTGGACACAGTACTCCAGATGGGGCCTCACAAGAGCAGAGTAGAGGGGGACAATCACCTCCCTGTCCCTGCTGGCCACCCCTCTTTTGATGGAGCCCAGGATACCATTTGTTCTCCCAGCTGCAAGGTCACAACTGCTGGCTCATGTACAGTTTTTCATCCATGAAGACCCCCAGGCCCTTCTCTGCAGGGCTGCTCTCAAGGATCTCAGTTGCACAACACGACAGATGAGCATTTTACCGGCACTTCCGATAGCTGAGCAGTGCCTATTAAGCACTTCCTCAAGTCTCAAGCAGCCCGTCTAGGGGAAACCCTCGGGAAGCCGTTGGGTTCTGCTCTCACTGAGGGCTGTATTGTTACACAACAATAGCTATTCAGTTCTGCTGGGACAACCAGAAAGCTGCTCGGTGGCATCTTCAATTTAATCAAGAACTTTCACAATTCATTAGCAATATTATTGGCTCCAGAAGTCTGACACACACCAGACTTGGAAAGAAAAAAATTTAAAGCATCATTTCTACCCATTCTTCAGTCTTCATCTTGCTCCCAGTCTCTACCCAAGAATCCTCCTCAATCCCTGCTCAAGCAGGGATCTATCTCAAGCACTGTCTCACGATGCAGGGAAGATTTATAGCTTATTAGTTGATCTCACCCCACCCAAACTGGGAGCCACATTTCTTTAATTTCAAGTCGGGGTGTATGTAAAAGGAAGCAGCACATTTCAAACTGCTCTTTGAGGTAAGCAAAACCACTGGCTTTGCCAC